AAGATTATTTTGGCGATAGGATGGTGCTGGTTTCAGGATTAAATTCAGGGCCCTGTCATTTTTATTACATTTTTCTTTGCATCATTTATGAAAACTGTTCTCTCTGTCATCACCTATACAGTGGAGAATGTAACGCCTATCTGAAAAGGGTAACAAAACCATTTATTAATTAAAGCTGAAAGATCTCTGAGATTAATGGCCTCCCTCGTCTACTTATCTTCTTGCTTGGGATATCTCATGCTTCTAAGAAGTTGTTGATTTCTATATGATTCACATTTCTAAACTTAAGTAATATTGGGGAGAACTAGTCCTTTCTAAAGGATTGCCCTTGACCTGTCATCTCCTCACCTTTTTCCCCCAACCCCCATCTATTGGTAGCAGGTAGCCACTAATCTCTTTCTTGGCCCCTAATTATTTTATTTCACAAGTGCTAAATAAATGGGATAATGCAGTACATAACTTTTTGAGGTTGGCTTTTAAACTGAGCATAATTTCCTTGAGCTGACTGTGTATGTCAATGGTTCATTTTGTTTTATTGCTGAGACATATTCCAGGCTATAGATGTACCACAGTTTGTTGAATCATTTACCCATCGAAGGTCATTTGGATGATTTCCAGGTTGGGGCTATTAAGGATAAAACTTCTGTGAACATTCATGAACAAGTTTCTGCACGAAGATAAGTTTTCATTTCTCTAGGGTAAATGCTCAACTGTGCAATTGCTGGGTCATGTGCTAAGCCCCTGTTTAGCCTTATGAGAAACTGCCGAACTGGTTTCTAATGTGGCTGCACCATCTTCCCACTAGCAATGTACTAGGGTTCCTCCTGCTCGACATCCCCATCAGCACCTGTTCTCATCTGTTCTTTTGATTAGAGCCATCCTGGTGGGTGTGAAGTGATGTCTCATTGTAGTTTTGATTTCCATTTCCCTAATGACTAATGATGTTGAATATCCTTTCCATGTGCTTATTGGTGCTTTGTATATTTTCTTTGGAACAATATCTATTCAAATCCTTTGTCTATTTTAAAATTGGATTGTCTTTTTTATTGCTGAATTGGGAGAGTTCTTTACATATTCTTGATAAATGCTTTTTTCTCAAATTTATGATGTGCAAATATTTTCTCTTTTCTATGGGTTGTCTTTTCACTATCCTGGTGGGTATTGGGGGAGAGAGGAGCCCAGTCTTCTAGACCAATGGTCGGCAAACTCATTAGTGAACAGAGCCAAATATCAATAGTACAACGATTGAAGTTTCTTTTGAGAGCCAGCCACAAAGTTTCAATTGCACTGTCTGTGCGCGCCCACACGTGGTATTTTGTGGAAGAGCCACACTCAAGGGGCCAAAAAGCTGCATGTAGTTCATGAGCCACAGTTTGCCGACCATTGTTCTAGACCACACGTGTCAAACACAAGGCCCGCGGGCCAAATCCGTCCCGCCAGGCCTTGCAATGTGGCCCGCACCGCGCTGTCATCACTGCACTCTGCTGCGTTTCCATCACAATGACAGTTTATGACTGTTCAGTAAACCATTCGGCCCGCGATTTAGGCTGGATTTTAGATTTTGGCCCCTTCTCTGATTGAGTTCGACACCCCTATTCTAGACTATACCCCTCGGCTTCTATAAGGTAGAACTGGTAGGGGTTGGTCAGGTCTGGCTCAAATGCTCCAGACACTCAACTGTTCTTACTGAGCTTTGGTAGATTCTCTTGAATGAATGTTTTTCTGTCTGTCATTATGTCTTTAGAACAATTTCCAGCAACTTCAAATGAATTTTTCAAAAACAATTTTTACCAGTTAAATTGTTTTGCTGGAGAGAGTGGCCACAGAGTTCCTTACTGTATTAATCTGGAGGACCTACCTTCACAGTCTGCTTTGTAATGAAAATACCCCCAGAAGATCTTACACCTTAAGTTCTCATCAGTGTTTTCTAGTTGCTGGGTGATTCTTCGATGAGTTGAGCAACTAGAGAAAGATCTCTGCACAACATTTGCAGCACTGGAGCAATGCCTGGAACATAGCACTTCTTGAAAGAATGACTGATAAAGCAAATGAGTTGAAGAGTCTGGCAGGAGGGTGGTGTGGGGCATGTGAGAACATCAATATGGAGAGGGGCCCAGTCAACAGAAAATCTTAGTGGGAGGGCACCAAACACATATGTGACCCAACTTGATCCGTCATTCCCCCCCCCCCCCCCCCACTTTGGAGCTTCATTACTCCTTCATTTATAACATAGCAATAATTTACTGGCTCATTGTCCCTGGAGCCCAAAAGAGTTTGAGCACAATTAGAAATCTGAAAATCCTTGTTTTAAGTTATGCATGTATACTGTTTGTGTCTTTGTGTGTCATCATGAATGCACATGTTCAACATCTATTGTGTATGCACGACCAGACATCTACATACATATTTGCACACACGTACACAAATAGTTATGGAAAACTCTGGAGCAGTGGGACATTCCCAAAGGACATTCTTCTTTCTTCCTTAACAATCATAACAAAGGAAGATGGAATGTCAAACAATCTTTAGTCATCCAGCCCAGCTGGCTCATTTGGCAGGTGAGGAAACTGAGGCCCAGAAAGCTCCCATGTTGTGTTCATAATCTTACATCTGCCTAGTGAGTTCCTGATTTCTGCAGGAATCTCACCCCACATCTTCTGTTAATCTCTCATGTGAGCTTTATTTGCTAGGTCAGCAAATACTCTATGCAACCACTTAAAAATCAGCACTCAGGTGAATTTCCCCTCTAACTTTTCTGCCTTTTCTCTCCCTCCATTCCTTCCCTAAAGTAAATTCTGCACCTTGCAACTTTGAAACTTGTTACAATCCAGAACATTAATAGGGTCTTACATTTTTTAGCAGCCTAATGACAAGGATATAGGGCCTTCAGTGCTAGCCCCTCAGGGGTTTCTATTCTTGGCATTTATTAAACTTGCCTGTAGCCTGAAGTATGTTTGACCTTTTTATACTAAAAAAATTTGCAGTTTAAACTTGATGCATATATTTGTGTGTACGTGTGTACATATTTCCCTCTTCATCGATTAGATAGAGATTCAGACATTATCATCAGTTGAACTTGAACATACTTGACAATCTCCCCCCTATATTTGGTGAGCAAAAGAAAAAGAGAAGCCATTAGCATCAGAATTTAATATTTTTCTTATTTAGCGAAATTTGAGCCCTCTTGAAACTCTTTTCTACTTTGAAGTCTATTTTGCAGTTTAATTAATGCAGCAAGGGTTTTTATTTTACTCTCAGTGGAGATAATCTTAATCCATTCACGGTGACCTTTTCTTGTGCAAATTAGTTCTACACGCTTGTTTAAGCAAATGGCCCTTTGCATGATGTCTCTTCTTAATGACGGGTTTATAATTGAAAATTGGCTTACTCCCATACGCCTAGTTTGTATGAGAATATAAAAATAGATGTGGACTTTAAAAATATAAATTTATATATCAGGATCCCAAAAAGAGGAGGGAAGAATCCAGTGCCTTCAGGCTATGATTAAATTAGACTATTAGAGTCAGAAAATACCGGTGACATACGCTGCTGTCAAAGTCACACCTGTCTGCGGAGCATTGGAAGCTCTTGAAAAATGAGTGATTTCATCTTAGCTCAGAGGCTCTGGGCCCTGCGGGACAGGAGCCATCTCTAGTTTCCCAAGTTTTCTTAAATTCATAAGGAACCTGGACCTGTGTGGTTAGAATGTGTTTGTGGAAACCACTTTCAAATGGATAACCCTAAACAAAATGAAATGCTCCTTCTCTTCCCTGCACTTCACCAGCAGAAAGACAGGTGACACTCATGCTATATTTTGCTTTTTTTTCCTTTTTTCCCCAAGTGCAATGCCATTAAATGGTATTTGTATGGAAGAAACAGTCATGTCTTGGTATTCCTCTTGCCCCATTTCTTAAGCTAGCTCCTTCCTCCTGTAAGGCACATTAGCCACTCTTATACAGGAGTATTTGTCTAGGACCCTAGTCAGCAAACTGCAGCTCGAGATCCACATGTGGCTCTTTGGCCCCTTGGGTGTGGCTCTTCCACAAAATACCACGGCCTGGGCAAGTCTATTTTGAAGAAGTGGCATTAGAAAAGTTTAAGTTTTAAAAATTTGGCTCTCACAAGAAATTTCAATCGTTGTACCGTTGATATTTGGCTCTGTTGACTGATGAGTTTGCTGACCACTGGCTAGGGCATTGATTTTCAACTGGTGTGCTTCACATACCAATGTGCTGTAAGAATACTTAAAACATGTTATACCTAATGATTTAGTCAGGGGTGATGACCTCTTTTCCCTGAGCTTGTAAGTAAAAAATGGCAGTAGCCAATATAGTAGCTGTCCAGTGTAAATGAATCGAAATTATACCTTTTTTTTTCTCCAAATCAGCAAAAAATATACATTTTTTTGGTGTGCCACAGAATTTTAGCAATTAGCTTATGTGTGCCGTGAGATGACAAAGGTTGAAAAACGCTGGCCTAGGGCAAATGAATGTTCTTGGTTAAATGTAGAAACTCCAGCTTGAAGGAGAAAATGAATATTGTTTTGTGCTTATACTGGAGGTTTCCTGAGTAGGTTTTAATAACATGGTTTTGTGGGGTGAGGAACAAGAACAGTTTTAGTTTGGTGAATGGCATGGCATTAAGAAAAAAAAAAAACTAGCAGTAATTTTTTTTAAGCTTATGGAACAGCACATTTCATCGGGATACAGAAATCTGATTTCCTAAGCAAAGGCTGAGCAAGTCAAATTGTCACTGGGACCATCAGACTTGCCTTTGTGCGCTGTTTTCAAAAGACTCTAATAGCTTTGTCCAACGTGAAGATTTGGACTTGTTGTCCGTGTAACAGTCCCCATGCCCCCATGGAAAAGTGAGAACTGCCCTCCTGCGGTAGTTCCCAGTTGCTCTGGGAATTTCGTGCAGGTGTGCCTACACATGCTCATTCATTCATCCATCCATTCCTACGGGTCCTCCTTGGCTGACTGCTCCCCTTCTCCTTCTAGGTATGATTATCGGGAAATGCTGCACAATGCCACTTTCTGTCTGGTTCCTCGTGGTCGCAGGCTCGGATCCTTCAGGTTCCTGGAGGCTCTGCAGGTAAGAGACCCCAACACCTCCCCAGAATCGGGCTGAGGAACCGAGGCCACTGGGTGGATTGATTTGAACCTTAGCACTTCTCCTGGGATCTAAACAGAGTGCATGATTGGCCTTGCACAGCTGAGATCTGTTTGCCCAAGAAAATCTGCAAGATTTTTCTTCTGTGGGGGGCAGGAGGAGGATTTCTCCTGCCTTTGGACAGGAGAAGACTAAGTGGTTTCACCACCAGGAGATGGGTTCTTCGGGGATATGATTTCAAACAGAGGCCAGATTTGATTGCAGCCGGGCGGCCTCACTGGGCTCCTCACAGAGACCCGGCTCTTTGCCTAGAAGCCAGTCTCCAGAGCAGTGGAAATGGCTGATGGGTTGTCGACACCAAAATCAAATTGCCTGTTCTGTCCCCACTCTCAGTAGTCGCCCCGGCACGCTAAATTGTGAGAGCAATGGCCAGCAGGGTGGTGGATGGTGGTGTTCAGTGGGCCCAACGCTTCCCAGCTCTGCTGTTCAGAGGTCCCGGCTGCAGCTCCAGACCTGCATGGATGGAGTCTGCTCGTTAACCACACTCTGCAGAAATCTGACTCTTGTTGAGACTGTTATGCATGTTTCTACCTGGAGGTTGCAGCCTTCAGAAAGCACGCTCTCAGCCTCCTCCTCCTCTTCCACTCCTTGTCTCCTTGCTGCCACATTCTTTCCTCCTCTGTAGTCTGCAGTTTGCCTGAATCTGTGCTTTGTCACCATGCTGCCTGATTTCCATCACTCTGCCCTGTCCTCTGAGCTTCCTTCTCTGAATGTCTTGCCCAGTGCACAGTGTGTTCTGAGGAGCACAGGGTCACAGTGTACTGATGGCCTCTCAGGGTGTTGATGGAGCACTCTGAGCCCTGGTTGGGATTGCGTGTTATCTGGACCCAGGGTTTTGTCATGAACCTGGTGTTTGGGGGCTCAGTTGGTACAGCAGTGCTTTGGGTCCCTCCATGCTGAAGGGAATCAAGTTCTGGTTCAGAAATTTGCAGAACAAGGGAAAGGTGGGCACCTTGTAGGAGTTATGTCCACAAAATGCTCTGTCAGGAAGCCGAGCCCCATTTTACTCTGTTGCTCATGACATTTGGGGTAAGCCGCCGGCAGCTGACTGTGGCCGTTACACTGACAAATCCGTTTCTATCCATGGTTGGTTTTTTGCTGCAATGTTGTTGGTCAAAGCTTTTGTTGCATCAATAAAACTTCTCTAAGGAAGTAAGGTCAGCCAAACCAAGTACTAGAATAGAAATGGGGTTTAGCATTCTAGGGCAAGACTTGCAGATGTTAACAATCTTGGCTGGATACATACGACTTTCATGTGACTTGATAACTCATGAAAAGCTTCCTGTCCTCTGGCCTCAGCATTCAGAATTCATGCAATGGGAGACAGGCCAGTGATTGGATTTGTACTGATTTCACCCCTGATTGGAATGGTCCCTGCTGTCATTCTCCCCACACTCACGAAGTCCCCTTCTTTGCACAGGCTGCCTGTGTACCTGTGATGCTCAGCAACGGATGGGAGTTGCCGTTCTCTGAAGTGATTAATTGGAACCAAGCTGCCGTCATAGGCGATGAAAGATTGTTATTACAGGTAAGGAAGGGGCTTGGCCTTCAACAGATCAGAGGATTATCGCTGCCCCCATCCAGACTTTCAAAGAAGATGAATCCAAAAGGTCAGCTCTATAAAAGAAATTTTTATCAGGAGAAAATGGCCTGTGTCATGGCGAATATGAAGTCATTTAGTATGGCACTGTACACTTTGCAACACAGAATCTGCCCAGGTCCGAGGAATATATTAGGAAAAGGAGAAGTTACAGGTAACGGATATGAGCTCTGATGGTGAGGAGGGCTGTATATCCAGCCACTTCCATATCCAGAGTTTCCAGAAATGATATGAGAGGCCATGTTCCGTAGTCCTGCTTCATATTTCTTTCCCCTGTTTCTGTAGTTGCCTTCAGATTAATTTTCAGGAAGAGAGAGGTCTCTAGGGTTGATTCACATAATTAGTGTTATTATTGCTCAAATGATCCACTCTGGGTACCTGACTGAGTCTTATCTTTTAAGATACCTAGCTGAAAGAGCAGCCACTAATAAAAATGCCTTTTTAATGTGTATCTTTGGCTATCTAGATTTTTAAATTTAATTTCATTGTGGTAAGAACATACAATATGAAACATCTCTTACATTTTGAAGTGTGTAATGCATTGCTGTTGTACAGAAGGTCCCTAGAGATTTTTCATCCTGCTTAACTGAAGCTTTACACCATGAATTAGTAACTCCCCATCCCCCCACCCTCAGCCCCTGGCAACCATTAATATACTCTTTAATTCTATGAATTTAACTTTTTTAGGTACCTCATAGAAGTGGAATCATGCAGTATTTGTCTTTCTGTGACTGGTTTATTTTTCTTGGCATAATGTCCTCAAGGTTCATCTGTGTTGTCCTAGATTGCAGAATTAAGACAATTCTGTTAAAACATCCATATTGCCCAAAGCAATGCACAGATTCAATGCAACCCCTATCAAAATCTCAGTGGCATCTTTTATAGAAATAGAAAAACAACCCTAAAATTCATATGGAACCACAAAAGACCCCAGATAGCCTAATCATAACTTCCTGATTTCAAAATATATTACAAAGCTACAGACATCAAACAGTATGGTTCTGGCATAAAGACAGACAGACAGACATACCAGTGGAACAGAATACAGAGCCCAGAAATAAATTCATATACATATGGTGAAAGCAGTCTTTGACAAGGGATCTAATAAAAGTTTGAACTTCATAAAAGCTACCTGGGAGGGAGATACAATACAGAGAAATCTGAGGACAGCAATCGTTGGTCACTAAGGATTTATTTATAAATCCCTTTGGGCAATAATATTTACATTCTACATAAATTGCCATGCTCCTTTCTTGAAAATTACAGAATATTTTATTGTTTTCGTTTTGTGGCATTCTGTACTTTATCTTGAATTACCACAGATATGTGTAGAATGGTTTTTTAAAATATCCTTGCATTTTTGATATCCAGAAAATTGAGTGTCTAACTCTGTCATTGACCCTACTTAGATACTGCTAGCCAGTCTGCTGACTCCTGGTGAAGTGAAGCAGTACTCTCCCAAAAGTAGCAGGTGAAATATTTATAAGTGAGAGGGCTATGGATTAGGCAAGCTAAACCCTGCTTCCAAAGCATTCCTTCTGTCCGATTCTATGTGACCTGGGTGGCCTCAATGAAAGAGGCATTCATGGTCCAGCAGGGAGTGTCCTTCTCACGCACAGAGATGGTGCGTGTCTAAAACATTTACTCATGATGCCAGCCGGCGTGGCTCAGTGGTTGAGCGTCGACATGTGAATCAGGAGGTCACGGTTTGACTCCCAGTCTTGGAACATGCCCAGGTTCCAGGCTTGATCCCCAGTGTGGGGTGTGGAGGAGACAGCCGATCAATAATACTTTGTCATCATTGATGTTTCTATCTCTTCCTTTCCCTTCCTCTCTAAAAATTATATACACACTATATATATATATATATATATATATATATATATATATATATATATATAACAATTAAGATAATTAATTACTCATGAAAAACTAACCAAAAGTGATAATATGGCTGTTTTTTCTTGGTACGCTTTTCTTTTATGATTTTGAAAAATAATGCATGTTTATTAAAGGAAATTTGGGAAACAAAGGGAGTAAAAAACATGAGCCATAATTTCCCCATTTATGTGTCAGCATTCCATGAATTTGATGTGAATAAATTGGGAGTTTGTCTTAGGCATGGAGAACAGTGTAGGATACTCAATTGTGGTTGTCCATTTCCTACCATTTCACCAACGCTGATGTACGTACTTCACCTTCTGAAACAACTTTTTGGCTTGATCCTGAAGATTGTGTTTTTCATTCCACGCCCACCCGAACATGCTGACATTTCCCCTCTCATATGCGTTCTGTCTTCACACAGCTGCCTCCATATTGAACAATGACTGCACTGTCGTTGCCAGTGGTTTTAAAGAGTTGGCAACAAGCCCAAATGTCTGCTCCGGGAAATGTTTTTGTTATGCTACAATTTTTCTTTTTCTGTTTTAGAACAGCTTGGATGTTTTTATTGCATATGTTCTCGTCATCCTGTCACCAAGAGAGCTCAGTGTCTCTTTTCTATATCTATTTTGGTAGCTCCCATGAGCTTTGTTACCATACATGACCTTTTATTAAGACTTTGAGTTCTGCAGCTTCCAAAACAATCTGGCCAAATTGGAATTCATTTGCCACTTTTCCACACCTGCTTCTCAGGACAAGCAGATTAATAACCAATAGCCAAATGCCATTAAAATGTAGAACTTGTTTTTTTTTTTGTTTGTTTGTTTTTTTTCCAGTCAATTTGGAATTATCTTCCGGAACACTTTGCAGACGTAGTCAGATAATTTTGTTGTGCATAGAAACAAGTAGAATATATTTCACTTGATGTAGGAACATCAAGATGTGGCTTATATAAGAAGGGAGTGTATTGGTAGGTTATTCCATAACATTCCTTTTCTCCCATTGTTACTACAGTCGATCCAGTTTCCTTGAGACCACATAGCAATAGCGCTCGACATTTTTCTAATGGACTGGTTCCTCATGACCATGATGAAACAGTGAAGTCAGTCTATATGACTCTTAAAAATACCCCTGACATTTCGAAGAGAGACTGATTATGAAAATTCAGCAGGGTAAATTTTCTCATGTCTTTCCTTGGCAATCTAGGTAATTCCTCAGCAAGTAAATAAAAAAAATTTGCTTTGACTTGTCAAGGATTCATGATATGAATGGTTTTCCTACTTTCTCCAAGGATATGTACCTTCCATCTCACCTGGAGCTCTGGTTTCGGGCTAATACTTGTCTGTCAGTTTCTCCTTTACCTGCTGCCTCCATGCTTCTGCAGTGTAAGGGACCCAGATACACATTTGGGGGCACAAATTTGCTATCCTCTTTTGGATGTGGCCCTAACAGCCCATCCATCTGTTCTTGTCATGAAGCAGTTGTACTGCTTCTTTTAAAAGCAGTGCTCCCACCTTCCCCTCCAGTGGAAACTTCGAGGTAGTCTTAGTCGCAATGCCATGGGTAACTTATTAAGGCAGCAATCAGAGCATTTCTGCTTTAGCCTGGGCCCTCGTGTCTGGCTGATTAGTCAAGCATTAGGCAAGCAAGCATGCAGAAAGAGGTGAACACAAAAGGGCACTTCCTAATCACAAGGAATTGCCTCTAAGACCGGTGGAGAACATCTGGCCTGCGGGCCTTATAAGTCCCACAAAATCATTTAGTCTGGCCCTGCTGAGGCATTAGGGGTGAGCTAATGAAACGTTGGACCCAGTAGAGCTGGCTAATTTTTAAGATGGTAATTTCGTATGACCCTTGAGTGTGATGTTATTAATATCCAATGGTCCTTGGCAGAAAAAAAGGTTCCCTACCCCTGCAAAGGGTATAGACACCATAAAGGAAAGAAATCTCACACTATGTGCAGATAGCAAGCCAGCCCAAGAAACTCTCCAGAAACTCAAGATAGAACTCCAGACTCAAGCAAGTTCACAGGTAGACACTAAGCAGTCAGTCCAGCTTTGAAGATCATCACCCTTATGTCAACAAAGGTCACATCAGTAGTAACTATACACTGTTAATTAAGCTTCCATGTTCTGGGCCCTGTGCTAAGCACTGACATGATCTCAGTTACAACCTACTGATGTCACTACTCTATCTCCATTTTATAAATGAGAGATCAAGTAACTTGTCCCAAGAAGCATAGCTAATCAATGGTAGAGACAAGAATTCCACTAACTTATGTGTCCCTGTGCTTACCCATGAACTGCACTACTGGTAAAAATGGTGATATCCCTCTCATGGCTGCAGATGGCCATGTTCAATTCAACTCTTACAGTATTTCTTAAATAACTCCTCCCTAAAAGCCACTCTTCTGCCTTAACGTGCGGCAGTATGGACAGGACATAGCTCTCTCCTTTAAAATTGTGCCGTGTGGTAGAGAGCAGTGATGATTAAACATACATGAGGTTGGGTAGCGTGGGTTGAATTGGGGTAAGTCCTGGAGCCAAAAAGAGGTCTGAGGAGCAGAGCAGCTCTCAGAGTGAGGTTAGGGGCCTGTGCACATAGAATTGACTAATCCCAACTTCAGGTTCATTGGAGAGGCTCAGAGACATACCCTAAAAAGTCCTTGAGTACCACTCATGACTCAGTGGTTGATTGTAGACCTATGGAAACCAGGAGGTCATGGCTCAATTCCTTGTCAGGGCACATATCCCAGTTGCTTAGGGGCTCGATCCCCATTTCGGGGTGTGCAGGAAAGAATCAACATTGATGTTTCTATCTCTCCCTCTCCTTTTCTTTCTGAAATCAATAAAAATATATATATATTTTAAAAAGAGGTCAATGGGGGAAAAAGGAACATATGTAATACTTTCAACAATAAAGATTGAAAAAACAAATCCCACACACAAAAAAGCCCTTGAGTAGATAATTTATTTCCCTGGCATGGCATATCTTAAAAAGGGTTTGGGGTGTGAACCAAGGCCTGTAGCTCCTTCTCTGTAAAGTTTGGTTGTCCACGTGCAAGATCACGGATCTGTGGGACCCAGAGGAGAACACAGTGACTGCTCCTGTAAGAACATCCTACACAGCTGATAACCTGCTTCTGAGTCTTAGAGGAGAACTGTAACTTCCATTCATTCAAGGTGCTTATTAGAGCTGATGCCCAGTACGTGCTGTTTTGTACCTGACACCCTTTCAGGGCATTTTAACCTGGAGGTTGGCGATGTTTGGTAGATCTATATTATGGGTGTCGAACTCAATCAGAGAAGGGGCCAAAATCTAAAATCCAGCCTAAATCGCGGGCCGAATGGTTTACTGAACAGTCATAAACTGTCATTGTGATGGAAACGCAGCAGAGTGCAGTGATGACAGCGCGGTGCGGGCCACATTGCAAGGCCTGGCGGGACGGATTTGGCCCGCGGGCCTTGTGTTTGACACATGTGATATATGCTAGACACTGAATGCTATAAAGACTGAAAAGCCCAAGTGGGTTACTCGATCCAATGGCATCACATTGTTTTCCACTTACAGTTATTATGTGTTCACCTTGTGTTACAGATTCCTTCTACAATCAGGTCTATTCATCAGGATAAAATCCTAGCACTTAGACAGCAGACACAATTCTTGTGGGAGGCTTATTTTTCTTCAGTTGAGAAGATTGTATTAACTACACTAGAGGTAAGTGGGACCACTTGGCTCTCTGATGAATAACGGCCCTTTATACACTTCTCTTGGCCTTCTGTTTTGCTGTTGGTGATGTGCTTTTGATCAAATGGGGGCAAAACCGAAATTTCTGTGCTTGGATGATGACAGTTAACTCTTTTCTCACCTGCTCTGCCATACGCAAGCAGACGACTCCATTTCTGACAGACTCAGGGGAAATCTGAAATGAGCAGAATTACACTCCTGACACAGAGATCGGCTCTGTCTCTCCTCATTTCAGGGATATGGGGCTAATGACTGTCTTCCTGCCATTCAGACTTACTGGCATCCTTTCAAGACAGAGATCTGTAGCCCTTTTAGAGAACACATAGTGACCAAGTTGGGGGAAATCTCCGACCATTCTAAAAATATGAATGATTTCCCAGCTGCCATGGTCCCAATGGCATCGGGACACAACACAATTAATTCTCAAGACATATACAGCCCAACCATCATCAATGTTGCAAAGATGTGTTGCGAATAAACTCGGGATGGCACCCGCCTGGTTCAGAAAGCGTTAAACATTATGAAAGCAGAAAATCTTGCAGGCAGATGGGTGCCTATCTTCGAGTTGCTTTTTTTAAGGCAAGAGGAAGAAAGGAAAAGGAAGCATGGGGATGATTAAAACCTTTGGAAGTAGAGCAGGTAGAGAGGCCTGAGGCTACACCAAAGTAGCACAAAGAGCTAAGAAAAGATTTGGGAAACTGCACACTCCTGACTACAGGCTCGTAGGAAGGGGGGCGGAGGTGCTGGGGTGCAGCACAGCCTGGAGGTGATTTGGAGGTGTCTGCAGAATAAGGTGGGCATTGGTAGCCCTACTTTTGGAGTATTTACTTTGGAAAAGTGATTACTGCTCTAAAAGCAGCTCTATGGAGCACACACTGAGATGTCTGAGAAACAGGAAAGCTGAAGTCACCCTGATTTGTCCACATCACTATCTTCTTACCCTCGTTGGTATCAGAGCCCATGCTGGGTCTGCCCCCGGCACAGCAGGGCATTTATTTGCCTAGCCTGGGCCCCTGCTCTCACCTGGGGGCATGCTTTGGTCACTGTCCTCCCATGAATGATGTCATCCTAAAACTAGGTAGAAAAGGCTGTTTAGGTCCCAGGTTCACCCATGAAGCTGTTAGGGACAGAATGGCTTCAGAAGGCTTCCTTGCCCAGCCGATGTGGCTCAGTAATTGAATGCTGACCATGGTTTGATTTCTAGTCGGTGCATGCCTGGGGTTGCAGGCTTGATATCCCCAGTAGAGGCATGCAGGAGACAACCAATCAATGATTCTTTCTCATCATTATTTTTCTATCTCTCTCTCCCTCTCTGAAATTAATAAAATATATTTTTTAAAATATTTTTAAGCCGAAACCAGTTTGGCTCAGTGGATAGAACATCGGCCTGTGGACTGAAAGATCCCAGGTTCGATTCCAGTCAAGGGCATGTACCTTGGTTGTGGGCACATCCCCAGTGGGTTGTGCAAGAGGCAGCTGATTAATGATTCTCTCTCATCGATGTTTCTAACTCTCTATCCCTCTCTCTTCCTCTCTGTGAAAAATCAATAAAATATATATTTTTTAAATATATTTTTAAATGCCTTCCTTATTGCAAGCCAATTTCTCTTATGCCTCCAAAGCACTCCCTTCAATTAAAATGTACTACATCTTTTCTGTTCACAGTAGCAGATTTGAATATGTAATATTCTTTTCTTTGATCCTGTCCTTCACACAGGACCCTTCCTAGGAATAAGGAAAGTTGAATATCATATTTTCTTTTTCATTTTGGAATAAGATGCTTTTTTTTTTTAATCAAAGAAGTGAATGTTTATTTTAGAAAATAATGGAAAATAAAGAATAAAAATGAATCTACTCATGCAAAATCTCTATTGACATATGAATACATATATTAGTTTTTTTCTATGTAAATTTATAAATATGTTGTCATTTTTAATTTAAAAATGTGTCTTTCTGTACTTTATAATATTTTTTCAGCTTAATAATCTATTGTTAATATTTTCTCATATTATTAGATTATTCTATAATTATTTTAGTGACTATATAATACTCCATGATATCACTCAGTTTCTTCAATGAATCCCCAATATGAAGATATTACCATTGTTTTTGGCTTTTTATTATTATATTCATCATTAAAGTGCATAGCCTTAGCACAGACTTGCTGGGCAGGGTGAAGATTAATTCCTTAGGATAAATTCTCTGAATTTAAAAACCTGGTTTAAAGAATATGCCAAATGTTAAGCTTTCTAATGTGAATTCTCAATTTTTCTATAATAGAATTGCACTATTTTATAATCTCCCCAGCTTATATGAGAGGATTTGTTTTGACCTTTAATTTTTATCACTTTCACCAATATTGGGCATTATATCTTTAAAAATGATGATTACTTTCTTAATGTATATTTCTTAGGATGAATATTTTTCAGATATTTCTTGCTCAGGAAACTCATAAAGAAAGAAATAGAAATGGCCACAATGTTGTCCCACTTTTTCTCATTGATTTTTAAGGCCTTATTAATTAAAAATATTAACCCTTTGACTGTTTTATTGCAATTATCTTTCCCCAATTTCTGGTACGCCTTTCTATTTTTTTTATGATTCGACAATCTTTTCATTCTTGACTTTTCCATTTGCTATGGTTAGAAAGAAGTTGTTGACCACAATTCTATTTATATACACATACAGAGTCACTTATGTTCTTCCAGTAGTTTCATGGTTAAGTTTTTACACTTAGCTATTTAATACAATTTACTTTTATGTATGATTTGTGTTGAAAAGGCTAGTCCTTTTTTTTTTTTTTTTTTTTTTGACAAATAGTTGTGTAGTTATCACAATATATTTTGTTAGTATTCTCACATGCTACTTTTAGGCATCTTGGGTCTATTTCTAGCTTTTTAATTTTCCCCTATTAGTTGTCCACTCTAACACACCCAGACCACATGTTCTCTCTTTATTTTCTTTTTCACTCTGAATGTCACCTATAGTGTGAGCCTGTATTTATTTACCCAATCTGCTATTGTTCACTATTTATACTATTTCTAATTATTTTTTTATAGATTGGAATATATTCAAGCAATGATATTCTACATATATCATAACTACATCTCTGTTTCTTTAGTATGGAGTTCTTGAAGTGGGATTACTCAACCAAAGAGTTAGGCATTTCTAAGGCTATGATATGTATTGCCAAATTACTCTTCGGTCCAGACCAGGGGTGGGGGACCTTTTCTACCAAGGGCCATTTGGATATTTATATCATTCCCAGGCCAGAAAAATATTATCGACTTAAAAATTAGCCTGCGATATTTGGTTAAACATTTAATTAACTCACCCCTAATGCCTTGGCAGGGCCAGACCAAATGATTTTGGGCTGAATGTTTCCTACCCCTGATTTAGATCACAAGCTGTCTGGGGAAGACCCTGTATTACTGCACGCTTGTCAGCCCTAATTGAAACACACACACACACACACACACACACACAGACTTTTGCTAATTTGCCAGATAAAAGATGGTATCTCATTAATTATACTTCTTTGAGTATGGTTTATTGCATAGATCTGGTCTCTTGCCTATTAAGTTAGCAGGGCTCAATTATCCCATAATAACAGTTGAATGTGTGATATTCATCAGAATAGGAACTTATGTCAAGCTGTGTTCATCTCTGTGCCTGGAAAATGCCTTCTTCTCCTTGGATGTAAGCCATAAGTTCTTTAGTGACACAGTTGTTTTGGAAACACTGCAAACCATATACTTCACTTGAATTTATAGCAGCTGTCACATCTCCATCTGCAGTCTTGAGATTAGATTGTAACAACTTGACCCTTTAACCAAATTGCATGAGCGGTACCATCCAGTTTCTTGTTTTAATTCAAAACTCAGATAACCCACAACCCAATGTAAACAGAAAAGCAGAGAAACTGGCAGAAAATTCCATCCACATACACAAATAAACAAATTCAATATGTTTGTAAGAATGACTTAAGTAATGCATATCAAAACTGCCAACTTGGCTTAGAATATAGATAATACACGTCATTTGGTCCCTGATGGAGTTCTTAAGGCTTGAAGATAATTCAGAATTATCCATAGACAATAGACATTTAAGGATCCCTGGCTTCAGTTTGTTCTACAGTTATACTCCTTCTTCCTTGCCTGCTGTATTCTAGACCTTGAGAAGGGGATTACTTAGGTTTGGAGGCTATGAGACTTAGAGATGTAGGTAGTGCTTAGACACAATTGAAAACAGGACACCTCATTCTCCTCTCCAATGCCAGGTTCAAGTTGTTACTACATTCTATGGTGCTGCACTCTGTCCTATTTGGAATTCAACTTAGTATTGTATTTCCATTGTCACTGAAGTTTCCTTATTCTGCATTTTTGGAATTAAGGAGCTATTTAATAAGAGTTCAGCTTTTTGGAGCCAAGTTTTTGTGTGTGTGTGTGCAGTGACATGTAATGTTGGGGGCAGTCATAAAATACTGTCAAAACAGTGTTCTTTCCTGGGTTTCATGATTTGTCAGAATCCTGCACAATTGTAAACCTGGCACAGAGGATTGAACCGTAGGAGCCCCGTCAGAACCAGGGTGAGCAAAAGAAAAGTGTATGAGATGATAATAATATGTGAACATAGCCAACAGCAGCTTGAAAACCACATTTTTTGTGGAGTTTTATGAAGTCTTCATTCTCTAATTTTCTCTTCAGTTACCTAACCATGCACATTTAAACCATAGCCTTGCTTATGCTATTATAAGATGAAATTTTAAAATCAATGGGATAATGGAAATAGGAGATTGCTTTGGCTTGGAGTGAGGTGACATATGGTGACACCGTGGGTATTAGGTAATATTGCATTGGTCAGAAAACCAAGTCAGGACCCCACGGAATGACTATAACCTATAATCAGTAGTCCTTTTCTTCTTCTTCTTCTTATTTTTTAATGGCACAGGATAAAAGAAAAATAAGGAGCCTGTCATTCTTCCCTTTGAATTCACATTAATAGGAAATATTATTCTTCTTGGGGTGCCATTTGGGATTGTAATTTAAAAAATACTGTATTATGTGTGTGTATATGTGACCCATATTCTTTCAAACTTTTGAGAAGGCAAGTTGTTCTAAAACTTTCAGAAAGACATTTGCCAATTATATGAACAGCCTTAACAGTATTCATACCTCTTAACAAAGTCTTAAAGAATTAATCCTAAATGTAGAAAATTTTAATTCATAAATGTGTTCATTGCTTTGTATAGAAAAAATCACACTGTTGTATCTCATTTAGAAAAAGTAAACCATGAATACCATTAGTAATATGAGGAAACATCTATAATACATAATATCTATATATAGTATTATAACTGTGTAAAATGGAAAAACCTATGCCTAGAAAATGAACACAGGAATGAGATTTTTTTTATTAATGGTAAAAAAAAATCAAGTCTTAAGTATTAATACTCATGCAGCTTTTCCTAATGATTCTGAGGAGTTATAATTAGTATGATATTTTATTGTTGTTGTGTGTTGTTTTTTTTTACAAGTGAGCAAAGTGACACATAAAGATGGCCAATTGCTTGACCCAGGTTAAATTGAACATTTGTTATTGCTTTCATACCTTTGTTGATAGCTTCCAGTCCAGAGCCATTGAAGAAAATATAATATGCTTATTGGTATTTTAGAAGTACTATAACTTATTGTATATCCTTGAATTAAAAAGATAACAGTGTTGTGACAATCAACCAAAGGAAAAAATTTATAACAATGAGAATCATACCATCCAGAGAGCTGAAGTGAGTGATGATCCATTTTGCAATCTCTGATTCCATGTCATGTATATATAGGTCAGATTTATGATCCTTTCTATTCTCCATTTGCTCTGTGTCTCAATATCCAAACTTGTTTAAGTGACCACATGCTGGAAAGTACATAAATTTGGAAAGCAAAAAGGGAAAAAAGGCAAAACTTTAAAAGAAACTAAATGGAAAGTGTATTTGGGCAAGTAATTTTAAAAAATCTGGAATAAGTGGTTTACAAATTGAGATTGCCAGGCATGTAAAAACCCTCACAACCACGATATTTTCTCATAATTAGTGCCTAGACAACAGCATTTTAGCATATCTCTGCTATACCACAAAGAGCAAACATTAATATTTTAGTTAGGTTTCTAAAGTCACCACCACATTAGAAACCTTTACCCAGCCATATAAAATTAGCAATTTTAATCTGAGGGAAAGAGAAAATGCAGAAGTCATTGAACTAAGATATTTGAGTTCTTCTAAATTTCCTCTCTGCTCCCTTTTTTTCTTTCTCATTAAGAAATATAAACATGATAAGGTTTGCAAAGATAAATGTAGCTCACTTTATTACTTATCCACTCACCATGTGGGATGAAATGAGGGTGTTAATAACCTTACAAATAATAAAACTCCATTTAAAATGGTCTGCACTTAAAATCACATTGCATTAAATGGGGAGCTGGAAAATGATGATTTCCATTTGAAATCTCTTGAGACATATGGCAGGTTTTTTCTTTTTCTTCTTAAGTGGAAAAAATAAAACATTGCTGAAAACATGAAATTCTATATCGAGTTAATTATTTGCCAAATCATATCTTAATGAGGGGTTGGTATAATTACAAGAGTTTGAAAGTCACAGAGAGAAATCTGTAAAGCGGATTAATCACATTCATCTGACAAATGATCCGGGATGGGAGAATGCTTGACTCTAAATGTAGAATTTAATGATCTGCAAGGTCCCGAAGTCCAGAGAAACTAATGAACTAGCTTGGCTATTATTAGTCTTCATATGCCACAGCCCTTGTCCTATTATGTCGGATGTTTGAAATAATTGTTAACTCCCTACTTTTTGAGATGAGATATAGGAAAACTTCAGTTCACCAGTACCCCCAAAGTTCAACAGTTGATGTTGAAAGGAAAATGAAAGAGGACAAGCAAATAAATCTGCCTCCTGAATTAAAGCCAAAGACCATGAAACCTCCACAGCTTCTAGAATGTGTCATACCTTCCATATGCTTTTAGCTATGTCTTCATATGATCTGTGTTGACATCCCTGTGCACAGGGAGCAAATATTCCAGGTGTGGACACAGACCCACTGTTAGATGCTCCATCGCCAAGGAAAACATTCCATGCTCCGTGATTTGAAATGAGCATGGATTTCTTATTCTAGAAAGACTCTATAGTATTTGTGGTAAAACTTCAGTTTAGTTAGGAAATTTGATCAGCCATAATTCATCTTTCTCTCTCTTTCTCCCATTGTGTTCTCTCTCCCTCTCTCTGACTCCCTCCCTCCCTCCCTCTCTCCCTCCCTCTCCCTCTCTCTCTCTCTCTCTCCCTCTCCCTCTCTCTCTCTCTCTCTCTCTCTCTCTCTCTCTCTCTCCCTCTCCCTCTCCCTCTCCCTCTCCTTCCTTCCTTCCCTCCCTCCCTTCCTCCCTCCCTTCCTCCCTCTCTCTCTCTGTATTTCAGACGCTCTTTATCAGTGGAGAATTGTAGGGTAGAGTCACTAGTTGAGTGTCTTCATCCCTCCAGTGGCATTTAGCACGGTCCTTATCAGATACCGCCAGGGTCTCATCCTCACCAGGTGCTGTGTTTTTGTTTTCTAGATTATTCAGGACAGAATATTCAAGCACATATCACGTAACAGTTTAATATGGAACAAACATCCTGGAGGATTGTTCGTCCTACCACAGTATTCATCTTACCTGGGAGATTTTCCTTACTACTATGCTAATTTAGGTAAGTGGGTTCCTTCCAGGGAGCTACCCTGATATAGCCTCCAACTGTTGTCCAGAATCAAGGCTCCTTGATTTTTCTATTCTACATCTGGCTCTCCCTAACCGCCTGCATTGGAGCTTGCTGATCAAGCCCCGTCATAAATGATGTATCAAGGTCAAGAACGATAAATCCTGCAGAGCATTACAAATGAAAAAAAAAAAAAAATTAAAAAACACCTTTCTTATCTGAGCAGTTACACTTTAACACTTTATATTTAGTAGAGTCTTTTCTTTTTGAGAAATAGGTTTCCCAAATTACGCATAATTACGGATAAGACACATGCAAATTCCCTGGGAGAAAGAGCACATTTACTTAAACCCATGACAATGGGTTAGCTACAATCTTAAGTCTCATCATATATAAAATGGAGCTAGAAGATCTCACCCCAGTATTTTATTTATTTATTTATTTACAATTTCAACTTCTCTGTCTCATACCAAAGAAAAACTGATTGAACAAAGGGAAAGGGGAAAGATTTAAGAATATCTGACAAGGGAGAAATGTCATCCCTCATTCACCATTTAATGTGCTCCTCTTATGTGCTATGTTCATGCAGTGCTAGGGGATAGAAATAAAAAGTCCAATGAGATAAAATCTCTGTCCTCAAGCAGCTTTTGGTGTAACATTAATGGGGCAAAAGGAAATGGGAGGATGGACAAATGTCTACAAATTATTACTGTTATGGTCATGGATATAGTATGTATGTGGAGCCCCAGTCATTCTTGTGTGAGTAATATCTTGGACATTTCCCATCATTCACAGTTTCAAATTTGAGAAACCTGGGTTAGAAAAGCATCTTTTGAAGTAAGAGGGCATAAGTCTCCTAGTTTTACCCAGTGCTGATGCTCTCTAATACCTTCCTTTTTTTGAGTTGTGCATATTAGCTGATAAGAAGGAACTTATACAAATGTGTGGCCTTATGTATCGACCAGTGACAAAGAACCCTTGAGTCCAAACCACACATGTTATGGAGACCATATCAAAACCAGTGAGTGGTCCACACTGAGGAATATGTTTAGAATTTAGTGATTTTCAGATTAAGGAATATATGGTAAAATTTCTACATATTTCTTACAGAGCATTCATAGCTTCATTTGGAGTTAGCACATTAGAAGTGTGTAAAGTAGGGGTGTCGAACTCAATCAGAGAAGGGGCCAAAATCTAAAATCCAGCCTAAATCGAGGGCCGAATGGTTTACTGAACAGTCATAAACTGTCATTGTGATGGAAACGCAGCGGAGTGCAGTGATGACAGCGCGGTGCGGGCCACATTGCAAGGCCTGGCGGGACGGATTTGGCCCACGGGCCTTGTGTTTGACACATGTGGTGTAAAGGATGCCCCTTAAACTATTAGTGATAAAAGTAAAAAGTGGAGTCTTTTCCTCGCTGCTGTTAAAAAGCAAACCCCTCCATCGTATTTATTTTCCTTCCTTGGCAAACCTGGAGTGTATATCTTGATAGTAGGGAAGTTAGCTTCTTTCTAGCATGAAATTAAAGTACTCATTGGATGATATCATTTGCTCTACAAACATTTGTATAATCCTCTAATATACAAAGTCTGATTCTTACCTTTATCCCATATAAAGCATTCTTGAACATATCCACACTCTTTTATTGACATTTAAGCTACTAAAATGCAAAATAAGTGGATCTAAACTGGTGAAGTTTTACAACACCTTTTCAGTGGTCTCCAATTTCTTAGCGGGTTCTTACGGAAAAACTCATTAGGGGGCATCCCACCTCTTTCTCTTTGGTGGCAGTTTTGTCTCTCTGATCCCTTCCAACTGGAGGTTTTCAGAGCACACAGCTGGCTGAGGTCTGGGTCACGCACCTTTTTCTCTCAGTACGTCACTGCTACACATGTGAGATTCTTGGGAGTGTAGAGGCTCCCAATCCATGAGAATGATGATAGAGGTGATGGTGCTTACAGCAGCTACCGGAGATGGATCACTGATTATTCGCTAGGTCCTGTCCTCAGTGCTCTGCATGTGTTAACTCACTGAACTGAAATCTCAGCACCCCCCCATATGTGTGCTGTTATTATCAATCCCATTTCACAGCTGTGGAAGCATGGAGGGTTCTGTAATGTTGCCAAGATCCCACCACCAGGAAGTGGCATTCAAACCTTAGCCAGGCTCTGGATGCTGTTCTTTTAATCTTTACCATTTGCTAGTTAATATTTGAAATGGTATTGATCAGGCAAAAAAACAAAAACAAAAAAACCCTAACTACATAATTACGGATAAGACACATGCAAATTCCCTGGGAGAAAGAGCACATTTACTTAAGCCCATATTAAGATGTGACTAGAGTAGACCCTTTCTTGAGTTGAGCATGTGTGCCATTCGACTCAGGGTGCCTACAAAGCAGAAGGAAGATCAAAGGTGCACCCCCAAGGGAGGTCAAGATATCAACGGAAGAGGCTGGAAATGGACAGCGAGCTGTAAATGAGCGAGGCCGCTGGACTCGGGCAGCAGGGAAGCACAGCTCTTCACCTTGTTTTCGTTCTGTCAGGACCGAGGAGGCAAAGGAAAATATGCCGGAAGGGAACATTAGCTCCAGGGCGAGGCAGCGGAGCAAGGAGGAATAATTTCCCATGTCTTGTTTTCAGCGCTTCATTAGGCTCCTCTCCCCTTTCCGTTTCAGGTCTGAAGCCCCCCTCCAAATTCACCGCAGTCATCCATGCAGTGACGCCCCTGGTCTCTCAGTCCCAGCCAGTGTTGAAACTGCTCATGGCCGCAGCCAAATCCCAGTACTGTGCCCAGGTGAGTGGGGTCCACCTCTCCTGCTCCTGCCTCGTGGACTAGAGCCTCCCAGTCCTGACCAGCTTAGCTCCCTGGGACTCACGGAATGTCACGTCCTGCTCCTCCCCTTCCATTCATCATGCCTGTTTGCCTTGTTATGCCCTTTCCATCAACGTAGAGGTTCTTGCGAGTGAAATCGGACACAGGTAAAAGGTGGGTTGCAAAATAATCTTTGCACCGGGGTAAGGGACCCCCCCCCAAAAAAAATACATACAACAACACATTTTTAAAAGAATGTGAAGCACATTATTTTGTTTTTAAATGTCATGGTGATAAAGTAACATCAAAGGTGCCACCGGGAGAACGCAGAAAACTAAGTTTCCACAGAAGGAACAGACTTGTTGGTCCAGGAGGCGTCAGCTTTTCTGTCACAGTAGCCATGACTAATGGGGACATTGGGAGCATAAGATTCGATCTGTAGTAGCAGTATTTGACAAATCAGCATCTCTCCTGTCTGCTGTTATTAACGGTGGTTTTTCTCATGTGTACATTAGCTTATAGAAGAAGGTTTACAAGCCAGGAAAGAATTAAAATAATTTTGAAATATCCATTTTTGAACCAAACACATGTATTAGAAATAATTAAGTCCCATAAAATCGGCAGCCATTCTGGAAAATCAAAAACATGAGTTCTATCTTGAAGTCTTTTCTTTCTCCCACACTGCCTGGTATAGTGCAAGTTCAGAGCAGATGTCCCATTTTCATTTAATTTGATCAGTGTCATTATCTATCCCTCTCATCTCTCCTAACATATGAGAATTTAGGAAAACAAAACATATTTATTAAGACCCAGCAACCCTGATATTACTTCTTTCCGATCCAACTTCCTGCAGACCCCTGGACGTAACAGTTTTAGCTGTTCTTCCTGTCCTCTCTTTAGTTGATGAAGTGACAAGGCTCTGAAGTTGGTGAGGGACTGCACTCACTTTAAAATCTGTTCTGCCTTGCTTGGATCTCCTCTCTCTCTCTCTCTGTCTCTGTTTCTCTCTCTCTCTCTCTCTCTCTCTCTCTCTCTCTCGAAGAAGAAGAAGAAGAAGAAGAAGAAGAAGAAGAAGAAGAAGAAGAAGAAATGTTGAGCCATCTAATGACCCCCTATTTCTTTCAGATCATAGTTCTATGGAATTGTGACAAACCCCTACCAGCCAAACACCGCTGGCCTGCCACTACCGTGCCTGTCATCGTCATTGAAGGAGAAAGCAAGGTAGGACTGGAAGGGGGCCTGAATGTGGAACCACCACAGAATCTGTGTTTTCCCGAGGGGTGCTTTTGGGTGTTGGCCCTAGATGTCTTCCCCCAGCTCCTAAAACTGTACCTGCCTCGGGGCGTCCTCAGCATGCACAGTCATAGGCTTTCGAATTAGTGAATCCTGGGTCCCCACTACTAATGCCTTTTAGACTCTCGATTCCAGTAATTACAGGCTGTTGTTGTTCCTTGTGACTAAACCCCTATCCCAGTGGTCGGCAAACTCATTAGTCAACAGAGCGGCCGCATGTGGCTCGGGAGCCACAGCTTGCCGACCACTGCCTTAAGATCTATGTGGCCCTGTGCATACTTTTTTCTCTGCTTCATATTCTAAGAACAACAACACATACTTCTTAGGATTAAATGGATCCAGGGCCTAGCAATAGTAATCTGTCTATGAATGAAGAGGATGAAGATGGGGCTGCTGATGCACAGGGTTAGCTTAGCTGATGACTCTGAGTTAGTTGTGTCTTTCTTGTGCTTCTTCCTCACATTTATCTTAAAGAGGACATTTTCACCTTAATTTTGTTTTGGTGCCTCCATCAGAGACTCCCTTGAGTGCTGCCTAGCTGCCCCCCTTCACCCTCTGCTTCCATTCTCCAAATCATTTTGCCTAGAACTGAATTATTCTTTTTTTTTTAATTGAAATCATTGAGTTGATATTGGTTAATAAAAATATTTACTTTTAGCTATGCAATTCTAGAATACAATCTGTATGCTGTATTGTGTGTTTACCACCTCAAGTCAAGTTTCCTTCCATCACCATTTATCCCTTCTTTAGCTTCTTCTACCTCCCCCACTCCCCACTCCTTCTGTCAATCACCATACTGTTGTCTGTGCCCATGATCTTCTTAATCTTCTCATGGCCCTTAAGGGAATCTATTTGCTAATGCTTTAAATGAACATTTGAGGCCAATTATAATCTGGTTCTCTCTCATTGCTTTTCCCTATGAACTGTACCTGTCTCTGGATGTCCTTTGACCAAATTTGATCTGTGTCCCATCCTACCTCTAATTTTTGTCTTTCCCATGGGCTGTAAGTCTTGGCCACCCCTCTTAATTCCTCATGTCTGTGGTCAAACTCCCCATCCATTTTCTAAGCCCCTGTTCACTTGCTGCCTTCTTTTAGAAATGTCTTCTATTATTGGAAGCCAGCCTCGAGTTCTTATTTCTCTAGCTTCTGCAGGTTGCCTTCTGGTAGGTAGATCTTATCTGTGAGGTTGGTGACACATTGACTTTAGTCATCATGGCTCTAGTGTCAGACTTACTGTGTGTGACCCTTACTGTGTGTGACCCAAGTTATTTAATTTTCTGTGATCAACCTTCCTTTAGTAAATGGAAAGAATCTTAACACCTAACAAACAGGGTAGCAAAAAGGATCAAGTGATAGGATACTTATATATATAAATGGACCTAGAAGTGTGGAGGCACATAGTAGGTGCACAACTGTGCTTTGTATAATTACTTACAAACATCTACTAGTATGCTCCCCACCAGACAATAAATTTCCAGAGTCTTGTTCATTTCCGAGCCATGTTTGTTCATTCTAGAAGGGTCTGGGCTGGCATGTGGTAGCTAAATATTTCTTAAATGACCTAATGAGGAACACTGATTTCCCGAAGATTGACTTTGTATGTGGGTTCCTTTGATGCTAATCCATTCAATTTTTGGAAGGGAGCTGAGGTCAGGTATTTGAAAGAGAGCCTCTGGTTTCTACAATAGAGTTTGGAAGTGGTTGGCTTAGGCACCCACAGGTTGAGAACCACTAGCAGGGTCGCCTAAGACCATTGGAAAACACACCTATTTACATTACGATTCATAACAGTAGCAAAATTACAGTCATGAAGTAGCAAAGAAAATAATTTTATGGTTGGGGGTCACCACAACATGAGGAACTGTATTAAAGGGTTGAGGCATTAGGAAGGTTGAGAACCACTGGCTTAGGGGCTCTTAACCTCTGTTGATGAAGCAGGTGCAGAAAAAGGAACTGGATCCTTTTAAAGCCAGTGATTGGCCCTTCCCCATCTAAACTCCCATGCCTAGCCTTAAGTTTAAAATTGATGCATTCGTCGCTTTGGCAAGTTTTGAATTGATAGATCAGCCTTGTCTCTGCAGTGCTCCCCTGTAGGCTAACAAGGGAAAGGTCAGCTGGCAGCTAATAGTTTTTGCGTTCGTCAGTGGATGTAAACAGCATCCAGAGAACTGCTTCAGGCTGCAGTTTCTGAGCACTGTGTGGGGGGCTGCTAACTGATATTTTATTTTATTTTATTTTATTTTATTTTATTTTATTTTATTTTATTTTGTTATTTTGAAAGCCTGAGAAAGGTGGGGTGGGGGACAAAACTTGACCCAGCTGACAGATGTGTAGGAGCAGACTCTGAAGCCATTTATGCTGCAAGTACATCCCTAGGGCTCCCAGAGACAGGCTACAGTGGGCTCTTCCCATCCTTCAAGGTAATAGGCTGCCCGTAGCTTCCCAGGCATGTGAGCCCAGGTCCAGGCTCCTGGATGAGCTGGTTCTCGGTGTAAACATTGCTTAGGCATCTTTGGGGTGGGGAGTGGGTCCTCAGATTTGTGGAGAATACTCTCTTGGCAGCCAGGTTAGGTATCTGCCTTTTCTCTCTGTCTCCCATGTCCAGTTGCTTCATTCTGTGTCTTTTGTGCCTTGAGAGCTGACGGCAGGTGTGTCTTTTCTTGTTGGGTTTCCAAGTGTGAGTTCAGAGAGGATGTCAGAACTGTTGCTCTAACTTGCAGGGGAAGGCGGTGAATGTGAGATTGCCGTATGAACATTAGAGCAGAAATGGGAATCTTCAACATGGAGGGATGACATACCGTGTTTCCCTGAAAATAAGACATCCTCCGAAAATAAGACTTAGCGCATGGAAAGATAAGACATCCCCTGAAAATAAGACCTAGTGCAACTTTGGGGAAAAAAATTAATATAAGACACTGTCTTATTTTCAGGGAAACAAGGTAGTGCTAGAATGTTCAATAAATGTTAATTTATTGGTTTCAAAGAGGAAGGGAAAGCGAGATAGAAACATCAATGATGAGAGAGAATCATTGATTGGCTGCCTCCTGCATACCCCACACTGGGGATGGAGGCAGCAACCTATCTAGATATGTACCCTAACCAGGAACCGAACCATCCAACTGATCTCCTGGTTCGTAGGTTGACACTCCACCACTGAGCCACACCAGCAGGGCTAAAATGGTCTTTCTAAAGGTTGAGGATGGACGAACTGTCCTGAAAAACGGAATTCAAAAGTTACTTCTCGTTTTCCTAATTCCTTCTCTTCTGCTTCCTCCCAGGTCATGAGCAGCCGTTTCCTGCCCTACGACAACATCGTCACCGACGCAGTGCTCAGCCTTGACGAGGACACCGTGCTCTCTACCACGGAGGTAAGCTGGCAGTGGGCTTTTCGGGCAGTTACCCCAAACCTCGAGGTGCCAGCGCTTCTTCCTCCTGTGCTCTGGCCAGATCAGAACTATGTTTCATGAGTTCCTGCAAAGCTGGTTTTAATCAACCCAGTTCCTGTGCACACCTTGCCCCCCAGGCACCCTGAGGAGGCATCTTCCCCTTTGTTTTCTCTGCTAATTGGCTCCTCATTTGCATGGCTGTACCTCACCTCTCCCCTCCTACTAGCCCTCCTTTTCTGTTTTTAAACAGCACAGCCACTGGCAGGTGCAGAGAAGCACCGATGGGAGGCACCCGCGTAGCATCACTGTGCAGCCTCTCTGTCCGGAGCAAGCAGCCTGCTCCTGTCCCAGTTACCTTATTGCCGTGTGGGCGTGCATTGCCTCTGTTAGGGAACACTCCTGTGCGTTCTAAAGGCAGCCTTTCTGTCCTGGTTTCAAGTGCTCATTTTCTTTCACCCACATAAGAGCACACGGTTTCGCTTGAAGGCCGAGAAGGAGATCCCTGCTGTTTCAGACAGTCAGGCATGTGTGCCAAAAATAAGACTGCACGGAGAATGCGTGAGGAGGAGAGAGAGCGGGGGAAAGACAGATATGGTAGAAAAGCAATTTTTACCCCTCGAATGAGTATTGATCTCTGAAACCTTACTTTTTAAACCATGCAGGGGACCAAAGGCAGTTATATAAAACTGTAGGCGATCGGAAATACATCATTAATGGTGGCCGCTAAAAAGTGTGGAGATATAGCTACTTATCCCTTTCCCTCCTCCCTTTCTTTTTTCCTTTTTTATTCATAATCGTTTTTCTTTCCATTTAAACAAGGACACCTCCCAGCATGTACTTTCCCGGACTCCAGGCTGATTCCCGTGGCCTGTTGCCCCCATGGCCAGGACTCGGGGTCAGCCTAAGCTACCGGTTAGTGCCGCTTTCTTGAAATTCCATGGGCACTTCCAATTTCCATCAAATTGAGTAGAACAAACGTTACATGCAATGTCAGCCTACATAGCCCCAGGACAAAATACCCTGGGCCTCACCTTTGTAAAGTGCTTCCTATGTAGCTGAAGCTTTGTAGATACTCAGTGAATGAATGACTGGAGGGGTGCGTGCTGAGCAGATGAAGGTGTGAACTCACAGCCGACTGTGTTGTGTGAACATCAGCAGGAGAAAGAGTGAGGAGGAGAAGCAAATCCTAATATTCCAAGGGGCAGACAGCTATGGAATACGGGGTGCGGACCACTCCGCTTGCTGCCTCCTGCCAGGGAAGCTGGCATTCCAGGAGTACATTCATTCCACAAGTGTTTGTTGAGGGATTTCTTTGTTCTGGTCTGCATGCCAGGAGCTTTGATTACACAGTTCCTGCCTGTAGCCATCAGAATCTTGGCAGCAAACAATTCCAATCAGGTGGTTCCAATGGAGGGATTTAGGATGATTTAGAGAGGGGGGGGGGGGGGGGTTTAAAAGGGCTCCATAAGCGATAGTGAGGTGCCTGGAGAGTAACAAGAATAGAAACAGCTCCGGCCCCTGGACTTGGAGGAGCCGGGGAAGAGGATGGTGTTTCCAGAGTCCCCTAGAGATGGAATTGGAAGAGGCTGCCCTACAGTCATGGAGGGATATGGCAACTGCCTGAACTTCAGTGCCAAAGCTGGGAGGGCACAGGGAAGCAATACCCTGACCTTTCTCTCTGTCTCACCTTCGCTTTTCTGCCGATGGCTCCCCCTGACCTAACCCTGTCAGCCACCAGCCAGCAGAAAGACCAGGCTGTGCTGTCCACAGGGTTCCCGCATCAGGGTACAGAGAGTGGCAAGAAGAGAAGAGAGTGGGTCTGAGAGAGGGAACAGAGAAGCATCCCATGGCCATGGTGGAATATATGGTCAAGACAATGACAGCATACCCCTAAACCAGTGGTTGGCAAACTCATCAGTCAAAAGAGCTAAATACAATATCAACAGTACAACCATTGAAACTTCTTTGGAGAGCCAAATTTTTTAAACTTAAACTTCTTCTAACGCCACTTCTTCAAAATAGACTCACCCAGGCCGTGGTATTTTGTAAAAGAGCCACACTCAAGGGGCCAAAGAGCCACATGTGGTTCGAGAGCCGCAGTTTGCCGACCAGTGCCCTAAACCCTTATCCTATTTCCTGAAGAATGGATGTATCACCAGCCCTCCTTCCCTGGGCACAAGGCAATTCGTCTCCCTCTAGGATTTGTTTTCCCCACCGCAAGGTGGAATAACTTTCAGGGGCTATGATGTCGCCACGTGCTAGTGAATTTCTTTTCAAAGAAGAGCGGTCCCAGCCTCTGGGTGCACACGGGGAGGAACATGTGTTGTATGTGAAGTAATTAGAAGTCAACGTGGGTTGAAAATGATACGCAAACGTTAAGAGGCTGGCGGTCTGGTTTACGGTAGCCGGGCGTTCAGGGGAGTGGTTGTGTTGCCCAAAATGGTCCTTGACAGGGTTTCTTTTTTCTCTCTTTTCAGGTGAGTAGCTATTGGTTCGTTTTATTTCTTCTCTAAGGATTCTTAGCTTGTTTAAATGTCTCTCTGTGGTATTAAGGAGAGGTTTTTAAACAGCCTCCTTTAAAGGGTATTAGATGTAGTTGGTTTATAGTTATTTACATTTATTGGGATTGCTGCAAATTCTCAAAAGAAAACAGATGTTGGTTTTTTTAAGAGAAAAGGCCAGGAGCTGACCTTTGCCTTCTTTGATGTGTTAATGATCTGCATGAAAGCAGAACTATCACCAGAATCATAGTTTTATCTGAATTTACTTTTGAGCTCCTTTGAAATGACTTGAAACGGCTCTGAGATAGCAAGAAATCCGTGTGATGAGAACACCCCATCGGGTTCTCTAGTAGTTTCCAGTGTGTGTTTCCTTTTCAAGAACAATGGGAAACCCTGGAGTACTGACAGCCAGGCCCACCCTTGCAGAAGGCTGAATAATACACTGTCCCATCAGTCCGCACCATTAGCATTTGAATGCCAGTAAGGATATGCAGATGATCACAACCTGATTTCAGTTTTCTGGCACTTACTGTCCATTCCCTTGCTGTCTTTTAACTTGGAGATGACCCATGCCCCACCAAGCATTCTTAATGTTGGGGGGGAAAGCTATGTTGTTAAGGTTTTCTTATCTGGAGTTAGGACACCAAACTCAATTTTATAAAAACTTGAATTTATGGCTGCTTACAAAAACAATGACTTCTGTCTTAGCCGATGTGACTCAGTTGGTTGAGTGCCATCCCATGCACCAAAAAGTCGCCCCTTTCATTCCCCCATCAAGGCACCTGACTGGACTGCAGGCTACATCCCTGGCAGTGGGCATGCAGGAGGCAGCTATTGGATGTTCCACTCTCACACGGATGTTTCTCTTTTTTCTTTTTCTCACCCCCTCCCTATCTCTCTCTCTTAAAAAAATAAATAAATAAATAATTTTTTTTTTTTTTTTAAATGATGGCTTCTAATTAAGCCTCCCAAAATTCAGAGTTAAAAGAGACCCTACAATCACCCAGGCCAGTGTTACCCAAAAAGTGGTTAGTGCACATTAGTTTTACATGATTCCTGGCAAACCTGTATTTAACGTAACCCATATACAGTATTTACTTTAATGCTTGTTAGAAAGTAATGTGGCCAGTGGTCAAACCTAGAATTTCACTGACATCTTTATCTAGGATGAGACTAATGAGGAAAAACAAGCAAACAACAAAAAAAGAACAGGCAGTTGAAAGAAAAATATTAAGTAACTCATCTAACGTGTGGCCTAGGAATGCATATGATAAAAACTTGGGAAATAGTGATCTAGGCTTATTTGCTTTGTCTCTTCTTTTAGTTGAGGTAAAATTCGCATAACATAGAACTGACCATTTTAAAGTGTATAGTTAATGTCATGTGATACATTTATAAGCCGAGTAGTCATTACCTCTGTCTTAACATGTTCATGGCCCAAAAAGGAAACTCCATTCCCATTAACCAGACCCACTCCCTAAACTTAGGAACCACCAGTCTGTTTTCAGTCTCTATGTATTAGCATATCCTGCCCATTCATGTAAATGTAATCATGTACTAGGTGGCCTTTTGCGTGTGGCTCCTATCACTCAGCATCATGTTTTGAGGTTTGTCCATGTTGTATAGCATGCATATCAGTATTCCATCCCTTTTTCTAGCTGAATGTGTAGGTATCGCATGCTTAGTTTGTTTATTCAGTGGCTCACCAAAATAGGGTTGCTTTGACCTTTTGGGTATCTTGAACCTCTGGGAGGTCACTGTGCTGAGACTTGAATTGTTGGTGGAGTGAATGAAATCTTCCTCTTCATTGCTTATCAAGAAGACGTAGAGCAATTGTCGGGGGGATGTGCAGCATGTATAAGAGAGAAATTGCTTTCAGCGCCGTAGCAACGGAGCTAAAAGAGAGGCTGTGAAAACAGTACACACTAAATCTGAAACCTGGCTCTGCCCCTTGCAGCTCGAGCAGATTATTTCAGCCCGCCTATACCTTAGCTTCCCTCTGTGTAACATTGAGAATAGAACATTATCTTTTCACAGAATTAGGCTTACGTGACTTAAACATGGAAGTGCCTATAACCACTGTAAGCATTACACAGTTAGGAGCATGGAATGATCATGGGGAGTCAGGTGTGAGCTTACACATATGAAAACAGACAGTTTGCTAATTATAAAATGTTAGTTTATAGCATATTCAGAAGTCCCTGCTTTGGGTTATTCTAAGCCCTGGAAAGCCATGTAGCTGCATTTCCTTTAAATAAATCCTGTGGCTTCCCCTGGCCTTGTCCTCACTTACTCTTGGTGCTTTTTCACTGTGATTGCTTTTTCTAGCTGTCCCTGGCTGGAACCCGAGCAGCCTGAGTGACTGCTTCTTTATGATGTGTGCTCTGTGTTCCCCTTAGACCTTGGGTGTTGTGTGAAACATCTTTTCTGTCATCCTCAGGAGGATGCTCTTCTTTTAGTCCCATTGGCTTTGCTGTGTGCTGGCTATGATGTATGCTGGATATTCATACTCCGGATGTACACAGGAAATCTCCCGTGTAAAAAACAGACAAGTTTATGGCTCACGTGAATCAGGGGTCACATGTGCCTTCGGGTGGGAGGGAGGCAGCAACTGCTTTTATGACTTGTTTTCTAGCCTGAGCAGACTGGCTTTCTAAAGGCCATATCAGCAAATGTGGGGTTTCTCCTTCTTCTCTCATTTCTGCACTAATCTGAAGTTTCTGTAACCAAAAACATTAAAATGTGCATAATTGCAGGGCAAAATGTCAAGCAGTCAGTTTAATTTGCCAATGAGTACACGGAACCAGTGTTTCGCAACAGTGGCCGGCTTCGAGTTACAAATGAGCAGGGGAAGGTAATGCTTTGTTGACACGGTTAACACTGTTGATTGCCTGTTTTGGCCTGTGTTCTGCCTGCAGGTGGATTTCGCCTTCACCGTCTGGCAGAGCTTCCCGGAGAGGATTGTGGGGTACCCAGCGCGCAGCCACTTCTGGGATAACTCTAAGGAGCGGTGGGGGTACACGTCCAAGTGGACGAATGACTACTCCATGGTGTTGACTGGAGCTGCTATTTATCACAAGTGAGGAATTTACACGTGTTGAGAATTTTATATACTCCTTGTGTTTGTTTCTGACTGCTGTAGAAGTAGGAACTTGAGTCAAGTCTTGTTAACAACATTAATGGAAATTCGGTAGCATCCTCCTTTAAGTTTTGTTGTGACCAACATGAGTCTTTGAAACCAATAAAATCTCTTGGCTTAATTACTGCATTTTCAGTAATTTAGGTTAGAGTAACAACTTCATGTCTGTCTTATAGTCTAACAAGGGGAGGCACCATATACATAATCGTTCTATAATATGTTAAAGTGAGAAGTTGCAGAGCAAAAAGGCAAAGTGGAGCAGAGGCACCCAAAGAGTAGGGGTGGATTTGGGGTCAGATTGCCAAATTAGTGTTCCTGACTCAATAGTGAATGAAATCCCCACTCTTCAGCCTTAGTGAGGTAAACACACCGATTTTTACCTAATCTTTTCAGGAAAGAATTGAGGTTTCTGCCATATCTGGGATAGAGTTGAAATGCACAAACGTATAAATATTTAGGTTGGCAGAACCTCCATCTCAAGATTATACCTCTGGGAAGTTCATCGTTCCCTTTCTGCTTGCACAGCCACTTAATGAATCTGATTCATTCAAGTGATTAAAAATAAATAAACATATGCTATTTTATTTGCCCCTCCAAAAAATAGTAGTGTGAAAATGATTCAAGTTAATATGGGTTCTACACAATGATTGACCACCAGATTAATTGGGGTTTTGCTCTAACTGTTGAAATATATAATTTATAGGCCACAAAAACAAAACAATATATTGTTGGATTTGGAGTTATAGGATAATCTTAAATACATTTTCTGATTAAATCAATAAAATTTGTAAAGCAGCTTGTAATATATAGATTACGTGTAAGTTTTCTTGCCATCTAAGTGTTCTGTTTCTTATCAACCAGTCTGATATTAAAGTTAGGAAGTTAGGCTAGGCAAGCCATATCTTCCATGTCTCTATTTACCTTGTTTCTTTATCTGTATTCAGTAATAATAATAATAATAGTACTTACATCATAGATTTTTTATAAGGATTAGATGTGGCATTTGTTGTAAAGCACTTTAGAATGTTATTGGGTATACAGGGTGGGGCAAAAGTAGATTTACAGTTATGAGTATACAGAACAGAGTTTATTCTTGTATTATTTAATAAATATTGTATTATTTTCCATACAAACAATTATAAACTTACTTTTGCCCACCCTGTATAGGAAGTACCATAAGTCATAGTTATCATCATCATCATCCATGATATGTGTAGGGATCCAAAGAATAGGTATATGTTTTCTGTCAAAGAAGACCATATATAATGATGGCCCCTCGGAAAATGCCTTTGGCTTTTACAGATATTATCACTACCTGTACACCCATTATCTGCCAGCCAGCCTGAAGAGCATGGTGGACCAGCTGGCCAACTGTGAGGACATTCTCATGAATTTCCTGGTGTCTGCTGTGACAAAATTGCCTCCAATCAAAGTGACCCAGAAGAAGCAGTATAAGGAGACAATGATGGGACAGGTACGAGGACTCTCCTTCCTTGCTTGTAAAGGGAAATTTAGCCAGGCCTCACAACTGGCGGTTTTTCACTCACTAAGTTTAATAAGAGCAGCAAATTGATGGGATTTTAAGTTTACAAAATGCAGTCATTCAATACTTTCTGAACATGTACAGTTTATGTCAGGCACTGTGCTCGGTACTGGTTATAACACAGCTGCTGTCCTAAGTAAGCAAAAGAGTCAAGTGGGAAATTCTGTTTCCCTCTCACTACTAAAAGAAGATGCAAGAGAATTTATAAGAATTTTTCATCTTTAAGGCTGAAAGGTTATTCAAATTCAAGCAAGATGTATTGAGTGTTTTCTTTGTGCCCAGGTATTTTTCATATATATCATCTCATTTAAGGATACAACATTCCTTTAATATTGTTTGCTCAGAGAGTTCTATGAAATTCCCTGAGGTTATATGCTGATTAAGGGTGGAATTCTAATGACACATGATTTCTTAGGGGTTGGTTTAATGCCCTTCTCATATATTTGCCTAATTCTACCAAACCACTATTTCTAATAAGTTTGCACATCTTTTGAGGACAGATTTAAATTTAGCCTAAGGTGTCAATAGATGTGTCTAGTTAAACATGTACTCTATTTGCTCCATTCTTCCCATCAAACACATTTATTTGCTTATTGAATGTTTGCATGACTGGTGAGTTCAATGAATATCATTCTTGAAAATTGTACTTTTATTACACTACAAAGATACCCTCTCTACTATGTTGGTTGACTCAAAATAAAATCTAGAGACAAAAAAGTTACCTGAGCTGAAACCAGTTTGGCTCAGTGGATATAGCATCGGTCTGTGGACTGAAGGGCCCCAGGTTTGATTCCAGTCAAGGGCATGTACCTTGGTTGCAGGCACATCCCCATTGAGGGTGTGCAGGAGGCAACTGGTTGATGTTTCTCTCTCATTGATGTTTCTAGCTCTCTATCCCTCTCCCTTCCTCTCTGTAATAAAATCAATAAATTATATATTTTTTAAAGTTACCTGAGTGATCCAACGGACTTTTTAAAAATTATTTTTAAGAGAGAATAAGAATGAGCTTACACTCTTGACAGTATTTCTGTTTGCATATGTGAGCACTTGCTCTTGAGTGTCTTACCCTTTGGGAATGAGTGGGCCAATCCAGAAGTTCATACCAACTTAGGAACACTGACATGTCTTTGGGACTGTCTCCTCTGTTGTGAACTCAACTGCTGAGGTTAATTTGATTTACCAAGCAGAGTTCTCCTAGAATAAGTGGTCAAGAATGGAACCTGAGCTCTGTCCCTTTCCAGCCTTGAACAAAGAATTTTAACTTCCCTGAGCCTACTTCCTCGCCTATACAGTGGGGATGCGCTTACGAGGTCAATAACTTGATCAGGTTGTTGTGAAGCCCATATGAACTTCATGTAAACACTTAACAAATCCTATTTTGCTTGTTTTTCTCCTGTTCAGAGGTAACTTGAGATTTGTATTTACCTTCAAGCATGTTGACACTTGTTTTAAAGTGACTTTGAATGATTTTCACAGTCAGATGTACCTTCCTATGAGAGTATTTTCTAAGAGTGCACGAGGATTTGAGCACAAGGATCACAGACACACACACATATACATCATTAAACAGTTGCCTAATGACATAAGTGAGTTTGTGTTCTTCTCCCATCATTGGGCAGCCCACCTTTTCCTTGTTTCATAAAAACGTGGTTTTAGAGACATTATGCTTAGTCCATCTTTTTTTAAGTTTCAGCCCTCAGGTCATTTAAGGCTTTCTTTTAAGTCACTGTCAGTCATTCGTGGTCTAAAAATATTTAACCAACCTTTGGAGCAAAACAGAGAGCTAAAGAGATGGTATCCATCCTCAACCAAATCAACAAAGTTTTCCAAACTATCTTTGAAACCACAAACACATTGTTGTCATAACATTTCATCTCAAGTGCAAAGAGAAGTTTATTTTAGTGACCATAGCAGTGGAGGTTCAACTGGTAAGTCATTTCCTGAGCAGAGAATTAGTCATTCCATGTGAGCCATTGTTTGCATGTGTGTATTTAGCATTGAGGGAAGTAGCATATCTTAGGGTAGCCTTCTTTTGATGAGGGATCAGTGCCTGAATTTTTATCAGACACAAGGATGGGGCGGCTTGGGGTGCAGGCCTGACTTGGTTTTCTGCATTGTCTCCATCTCACCTTTCCCTTCGCTCACAATCTTCTTCCTTGTTTCTCTCTTTTCTCCAGACTTCCCGGGCTTCCCGCTGGGCTGACCCCGACCACTTTGCCCAGCGACAGAGCTGCATGAATACGTTTGCCAGCTGGTTTGGCTACATGCCGCTGATCCACTCTCAGATGAGGCTCGACCCCGTCCTCTTTAAAGACCAGGTCTCTATTCTGAGGAAGAAATACCGAGACATTGAGCGACTTTGAGGAACCCAGCCAAGTGGGGGAGGGGAAGCGAGAAGGGACTGGGGTCAAGCTGCTCTCTCTTCCCAGGTGCAGATCCGCTCAGCCACGGGGCCAGATTGTGCCAAGTAGCCAAATAAACTTACATGAACAGAATGACACAAAATAAAATTGAAAAGTCCAATGAGAACTCGACTCCTGGCTCCTGGGACTGCATCGGACTGCTCCAAACTCACCTCACTGGCTTCTGTGTCCCAAGACTAGGTTGTGTACAGTTTAATTATGGAACATTAAATAATTATTTTTGAAATGATTGCTATGCAGGTTTAAACTTTTTTAATGATCAAAACTATTAAAAACCAGAGTTCTTTCTTTAATCAAAATTGTGTTGGTTGTGACTATTTCAAAGCTCCTACTCCTCTTCCCACAACATTGTTGCCATTGGTCATGCGGGGATTCCCATAGTTGCAAAAGCTCAGACTTCATGGGTCTCACAATAAGTCCCTCTGTCCAGTGTCAAGAAATAATTGAGCATAAGTTAAGTTCATTATTCAACTCTGCCAGTGCAAATTGTTTTCCACTTTGAATTTGCAGATCCACTTGAACTTTATTCTCTAAAATGTTGCTGCATGAAAGAAAGTATTAGGACTTCAGGTAGACAGTTCTAACTGAAAACTTTGAGACCTGTAAGTATGATCATCTTTTTCATTGGAGGGTGGGGAAGGACCAAGAAAACAATAGTATTATGAACAGATGTTCACTTTGCTCAAGGAACCATCCAAACAATCACCAGTAAGCATGCTAGTGGGATGGGAGTGTTGATCACAACAGTAACCCGATTCTTTTCAGAGGTGGGGGCTAGATTATGCATCCACCCATGGACCTGAGTCTGCTTACAACTAGGAAATGCTCTGGTTTAAAGGCAAAGAAAGTATATTGAGAATGAGTATATATATATATATGGAAAGGAACAGGTTATTTACAAGACAGGCTCTTTCATGTTTGTGAAACCTCAAGTTTCAGAGCTTCTCTATTAACAAGGAAGGGTATCAATTCCCACCATTGGACATGAGGATTGTTGAGAAGTAACCTCACCATGGGGACCTGGAGACCATTTTTGGTCAAAACATTCTTGTTTTGAGCAAGAATCTGGCCACCCAAAATAATCAGAAACAAATGTAAACACTTTTATTTCATTTTCATTTTTAAATCTGGAGTCGTTCAGTTGTGCTTCTGGTTAAAAAGAAAGTCTATCTCTACAAATGCTGCTTTGAGCTTCTGATTCTTGTAAAACTGTAAATAATCAGCTAAATATATATATGTATATCAATTAACTCCATTGTAAATGATGGAGAGGAATCTTCTAATACTGAATGCTTTCTTCTACTTGGAAGAAGCAAGAGAGATTAGAGAAGAGAAAGACATTATTGTTCCTACCATCTCTTATACTGAATAAACAAGCTCTTTAGTTCCATACCACCATTACCCCAAATGCTCCTCAATCTCATAAATTTACTTCCAGTGTTGTTTAGAAGAAAATTCCATCACAGAATTCTGTTGAAATAACTTCAAGTGCCTGGCTTAGGCCAGTGGAAACCATAAATCCAGGAGATTGTAACCCATCTTTGCTTTGTAGACAGCTGGATGGGAAAGAGGACCTTGCAGTGAGAGTGCAGGGAAGGAAGGTGCTGTAAACAAGGGAAACTAGGTGTTTGCAGAGCTCCAGAGAGATGACTCAACATGCTCCACAGCGACAGAGTGAAGACCAGAGCCCACACGTCCAGGTGATGTTGTGAGTGGTGTGCAGGTAATGAAGTTCAATGAACAGGGCTTTCTCTGTAGCCTCAAGACTCAGAACAGCTCCCCAAGTCACTCTCATTCAATCTGACCCAGCCTTATCCACTCTCAGTCATGTGACCTTTCCTTCTAAGTGTATGTGATTATCTCTTTTGTGTGGAACAATAGTTCTTAGGTCCATAGTCTTGCCCCTTCTTTCTTTCTAGCAACATGCCCAGTCTAATAGGTTTCATGCCATTCAAGCTGCAGCTCTCAGTGATGTGAAGGGGTAGCAATTAATCCTTATTCAGCTGGCCTTTGCAAATTTGCATTGAAATTAACTTCTTGAGACTGCCAAAGTGTTCATGTATCTTTCTCCTTTGCAGAAATGAATGCAGTGTTTTGTTCAAAGACACCCCAAGCCAACTTGAAACTCATGTTGTCATCTTGACTTACAAAGTAAGAACCCTAATTATACTAGCCAGTCACATGAATGGATTCAGAGAACTGCTTTGCCAGATTTACCTGTCACAGAGCTCACGGGGCATATTCTCCACACACATTATATGTTATGAGTGTGGGGGGGAAAGATAATTATAAGTGAGAACAGGATCTGACACATCTCCGTGGTAGTATTTTACATCATTGAGAAAATCTATTGGAGATACTAGCTAGTATGTTCTTTTCCTACTTGGCAAATACAGCTGGGAATTGAACAATGCTTAGCTAATCAGTGAGACACAACAATAGGATATAATTTTAATTCACTAAGGAAAGAACTATATTTCCGTGCAGCAAGTTGACAAATCACAGCATCTCTGTAGGATGTCAGGACTTATCTCTCAGCCAACTCCATGATAGCCAGAGGTCTCTAAGTGGGCCCACGTGAATTGCTAAGGAGCCAAGAGCAGAGAGAGCAGTGCCAACCACATAATGAGTTACATGCAGAAACTCCAGCGAGGACTGGACCACATAGGATTTCCATACAACTTTTTCCAGTTCCACATGAGGACACATGATCTTAAATATTTTTGTAAGCCGGCTTATATGTTTATATGTATGAAAAGTCTTATAGATACTGAATCAAGCTTGCATTATATTTAATATACTGTAAATATATCACCTTTATTGAAAACAATAAAATGACCCAACATTGAGACTGTACAGAAAAATTCATGAAGTCATCATTGCAGTCACATAACATATGATAACATAGATGGTCCTGCCTGGACACCTCAGCACACTTTTCAACTGGATGCTTCAGGAGAAAACAAAGTCTCTCATACCTGGAATCTTATGTGCATTACACTTGAATTTCTTGTTATAAAAGGTGCTCAAAGAAGGATCAATCTTAACTGCTTTTTTTCAGATTTCCCTTTAGGAGGGATTTTTGTTTTTCATGTGCAGTAGGTTCTGGAATACCTGGCCTTTCATAAAGGTTACTAACCTTTCATTTAATCAGGGCTAAGATGGATGAATGTGGAGAGACCTTTGTACTGTTTTTGTTTTTTTCAAAAGCAGCTATTGCTTGGCCGGTGTGGCTCAGTGGTTGAGTGTCAACCTATGAACCAGGAGGCCAAGGTTCAATACCTAGGTTGCAGGCTCGATCCCTAGTAGGGGGTGTGCAGGAGGCAGCTGATCAGTGATTCATATCATTGATGTTTCTATCTGTCCCTCACCCTTCCTCTTTGAAATAAATTAGAAAACATTTTAAAATAAAATAAAATAAACTCTTGATTTAAGAACTAATGAATTTTTAATCAAACCTTTTAAAGGGAGGGCGTGGGAAACAGGCAGGAAACCTCACCAGGTGAGACTCTGAATAGGGTTCTTGCTGAACAAGCTGAATTATGGATTCAAAAGCCGAGGCAAACTTCTCAGATCTGAAAGTGTCTTCTATTCCTTCAGGTCTTTTTGTAAAGTACCAGTTATTGCTACAAACTCTCAAATAAAAACATCCCTGCCTTCGAATAGTTAATACATTCAAACTGTAGTGGTACATCAGGACCTGGGTTACCAGCTTCCCTCTGCAGCAACTATGGACAAGGACCTTTCAGATGGCTTTGTCCTTCTTGGCCGGATTTAACCACAAAGTTCTTGTCACTGCTGGCCTCATATTCTCGGGCATGCTTGGTGGGAACAAAGTTGTTTTGACTTGAGTTCTCAGTATTCGTACCTACTATGCTAGACTTGACCTCTTAGTCTTGGAGCTTCAGCATGGAAGAGATTAGCTTACTTCTTGACTCCAAGTCTACTTTAAACAAATGGGATGGAGAATCCTAAGAACATGGTCCCTCCCATTAATTCAGGGTTTTATTTATTTGTTTGTTTTGTTTTTTGTTTTTGTTTTTTTGCAACATAATCTCAATAATAAGATGACTCCCAGAAACCATTTTTGGTTTTTTTGTTCTTTTTGTCCTTTCTAAAAATCCTAGGATTTTATTGCTATGGTTTTGACTTAGCAGGGATTGTCTGTAGTTGTCACTAATCTAGGGTTTCAATATGTATCATATCAGGAGACTGAGGAGTTACCCAAGTTTGGGACTTCCGCTGCCCAACTAAATAGGAGAGAAAGGCTGTGTTATTATCCACTGGAACAAGAGATAGAGGGGACCACAGAGACAGCTGCACCCACAGATGAGCATGGTCTAACCCTTGTTTGAAAACCAGGCAAGCCAGCCTTCCAGTCTCTTGATTTTTGTAATGATTTGCCTTTTAGGCCTCAAAGTCCAATTCATTTCTGCAGTAGTTCTCTGTTCTTCTTCTTCAGGAATACACCCCTTTCCTTTTGGTTGTAATTATTACTAAAATCAGGGTCATGCAAATGACCTGGTTACTATGAAATGAACCTTAGATATTTATTTTGAGAGACAAATATGTATACGACAATGTTGAGAGGTGGAAGAAAGCAAAAACTGGAACTATTTTAAGGGGCAAATCGTCGAGCAAAAAATAAAAAGGATGCCTTATTTTATATACGATGTACATTTGGGACAGTTTTCTAATATGTTGAAGATGTTTTTGTAGTGTCAGGGCAGGTCTTTTCTGAAGTGTTTCCCTCATTTGTTAGAGACTATGAGTGATGTGGTCCAGTTAATCCCAGAAGTGTGAGAGTGAGCCTGTGAGAAAATGTAAGGCCACCAATATTGATTTACTTCACAGACCCGTGTAACTTTCTGTCTGGGTTTTGCCATCCAAGATACATGGTCTTATAGTTTCACCAAAGACTTTTACCTTCCAATTTATGGGAGAAGAAAAAGAAATCTATACTAATAAAAGGGTAATATGCTAATTAGACTGAACATCTTCCAAACGACCTTCCAGACATCCTTCTGGATGTTCATCCAGACAAAGCCATGTTGGCGGGACCAAGAGGAGGTTAGAGGTGAT